GTATCAGGACCCATTTTTAAACATCAGTGGCCAGTCCTGACCCAGTGCCCCTCACTCCCGACCTGCTGACCCCTGCTTCCAGCCCCCAGTGTGTGGGGCACAGCGGGGCCCAAGCAGCCCCTTGCAGGCGCCAACTGTGCCAGCCTGCAAAGGAAAAGCCATGGTTTCCCACATTTTTCTTTTGCAAAGGAGAAACCATTTTTTAAGTTTGTTTGTGACTCTTTCATATATTCTTGCGACCCACTTTTGGGTCGTGATCCATGGGTTGAGAAATGCTGTGCTAGATCTTGCCAGTAATAACATTAGTATATGTCCCAGTCCAGAGGGAGGCCATTGTTCGGGTTGCTTATTCTTCCAGTATAAGAAGAGGGTAAGAAGGAGGGAGGCCTTTAGTTGTACAGCTCTTCCCCTAACACAACTGTTCATTTTGGTATATGAACAAGTCAAAGCTGGGCTCATCTCCTCTCCTGTCCCTCCACGTAGAGATGTGCTTAGGGTGGGTGTGTTCTAATATCCTAAACTGCATTGGACCTTGAGGCCTGAATTCACAAAAGTGACTAAGTGAGTGGAGTTGCTCACATGGTGAATATGGTCCAGACACCGCTGACTCTCCAGTGACTAGCCCAGGGGTCCAGTCTCGCCAGCAGGCTGCCTGACTTCTGCCCTCTCCAAGACTTTACATCACGGTGTTTAGTTATGGGCGAGTTGAGCACTTGCCACTGAAGCCCCTGGATACTGGCTCCTGCTATATGGTGGAAAAAATAAACCTTTCATTACTTGGCCCCAGGTCAATGGGCTGGGGCCAGCACATCAAGATTGCCCTCTTCTCGTGTCACACCTGGACCAGGGTGGGTGTTTTTAAAACAGGCATGCTGCTTCCTTGTCTCAGCCGAGCTGGAAAAACAGCTTCACGCCTCGCTGGGTGCTCTTCTGGGAGCCCGTGGTTACGTCCTGTTGCTAGGGAATCCAGATCCTGCCTTGGCAGCCAGGTGCATTCAGCACAACATCTCGCGCAGCATCCCTGCTCTTAAAAACCTACATCCACATTGCAAGAGTCGTTCCAG